TCTAAAGTTTGTTTCCGGGAAAGACATGACAAGCAAGATCTGCCTTCAGGTTCTTCTGGTGTCCCTTCTGGACCTGGCAGTCGCCCCGAGTTGAACAAGCGCCCCCACCGCAAGGCCCTGCCAGCCGTTGGAAAAACTGTTGATATGAATCCTGCATTACCCAAAGTAAGGACTCGCACTCGATTTTTAAAAGGTAATGCAGTGGATTTATTCATTTCATCAATCATATAGGAGCCCCAATTTTCCCGTAGTTCATTCTGGATGTCACAAAAACGATGCGAGCTTTCTGCCGGAAGAGCTTGCTTCTGCAATCGCCCAAGGCTTGGATGGCTCGAAGAGAGAGGTTGAAGGATTTATTTCCCATATCCGACGCTGCTAAAAATCCCTTAAGTATCGAAGCCCTGACCCTTTCAGGCAGCTGCCTGGGCATGGGCCACGTGGTGCTCCTGCGCAACGGGACAAAGCAACGGATTTTTCCTCCACTTCCTGATGCGACGACTCCTGCCACTCCTGCTCACGATCCTCCTAAGTCCTAAGACTGCGACCGCCGCCAAGGCTAGCAGCACTATTATAGGATTACGAGCGTGACTGCGTGAGAAAACACGAAGTCATCTTGAAATCTTGGACGTACCTCTGACCCGAAACATCCTAAACCCTACACTGGCTCTGGTTTTCTTTCGTCACATCCGCTTTTATGAAGCTCTAGTGGATCGGGGTCACGACGATTGGAACTCAAGAGAGGTCGCAAACTCCGAAACCCGGAGTCGCGAAAACTCAGGAGGATACAGCAATCCCAACCCTTGTGCTTCTGAAGCTTGCATGTTCGGGCAACTTTGCACAAAGCCATCGCCAAGCAGGCAGAGCGGCAGTCAGTTAAGTGGAGCAGGATCAAGGGCCTACTCTGAACACCGGCTGGCAACGCATATGCACAGTAAATTGCAATAAAGCTCTGACTCTGTCTGTATCAAGAAAGCCCTGCAGAACAACTCTCACACTGCGCTCCTGGTGAGCACGCTGCTGCTGCTCTCCCAGGGTGGACATGTGGCCCCGATGCCGCGAGTCAAGCTGAAGGAGTCTCCTGCTCGGTCGCGCTGCTACCACTCCGACAGAAAACACCGTGAACCGGGCGACAATTCCCACTGTTTTCATGTTTTCTGCATGTGGAACAAAGGGCGCTAAGAAAGTGAAGTGATGACACATGACCAAAAATGCCACAATCCTCGGCAGCAGGCCTTCCCATCCTCGTGTGCCTCTTGGATCTCATGATTCCGATCGCAACCCATTGCCTTGATAACTTGATGCCCCACTGCCACCAGACAGCATCTCTCCTCACGTCCTCCTCCGATGGTTCCTCCCTGAGCCGCGTGAGGCAACGGGTTGCTACCATGCTAACTACTGCAAAAAGACAAGGCGGCTGCGTCCACTGCAGCGAAACAAAGTCTTCATGATTTTATGGTCCATGGTACACTTTACCTGGGGTGAAGGTTCTGCCAGAAATACGCCCGTCTCTGCTGAAGGGAGCCGACGCGTGCCCAATGGCCGAGATCCTGGCCCCATCTGTTTGATGAGAACCTGGTGGCATTCCACTTGAGCTGAACTCTTTGTTGAAGCCGGACTTATATTTCAACTTTCCATTCGACTCAGCAATTGGGCCCGTGTCCGCCTCGCGCTCCTGCTTCCATCGCTGGCGCGTCAGCGCTTCCTCATCGGACTGCTGCTTCCGGAGCCTCGTGACTTGCAATTTCATCTGGAGCATGCAAAGATGCATGGCGTTCAGAGTCCCTGCCCAGCACAAGAACAGAAGGAGGGTAGAGGCAAACAAAGGCCAAGGTAAACGGATAATGCGTGTATGCACAATTAGACTTGACTATGTTTTCTGTTGGTTTGGGTTAGTGGTAAAGCGAACATACTTTATACGACACATGTTGGATCTCGGACGTCTCGCATGGAACCAAACATATCTAAACCTCGACTTGGAAACGGCAAACTGTCGACAGAGTCGTGCTGCCTCTGGTAAACACCAATCCTGGTTGTTTTCGGTGGCAATGACTTGAATGAGGCCTGGGGGGTCGGTCCTATAATTACATGTAGGGACTATGAAAGGATGTACAGTACGCTTTTGGGCTCGGCTACATGAACGATGTAAAATATATAAGGACCCATGATGAGATACACTTCCTAAGTGTGTCTCTCTCTCTCTCTCTGCACTGAGTGTTTGGACCTCCTGAATTACCCATCCTACCGATCTGCACCAGTCGAACCTCGAGTCCTAAAGCCCCGTCCCCGGTTCGAAGCATCACAGTCAAGATCACAGGGTTCAGGGGTTCAGGGATTCGGTGGCTCGGCCTTGCCGTTGATTCCGCTGCCACCACAACCGCCCTGTCATGTTCGCGCTGCAGCTGGCGCCGCCTCGCCTGCGAACTTAGTAGCAGGCGCTCCGCATGACGCAAGCATGTTTTTGTGTGGCATGTATGCACTGCCTCTGCTCCGGAACAAACCTGGAGTTCATACCGCCATAATGATCAATTCTTCAGCGTTTATAAAGGACCTTGCAAGCCCTACTGCAAAGATTCATGCTAGCTTCTGCGAGGCACTGCAGCCTGCAGCACAGGCTTGGTCGATATGATGCGCGATTGGGCCAGATTCAGTTTTTAAGTTTCATCATCCCAAGAGAAACGCCCCAAGATATGAGCCTTGTCGCTCGGACCCTTGTTCAAGAGCTCAAGAACCGAATCCCAAAATTGCAGACCATCCTTTTCCTTGGAGCCCTACTTCAACTCGTCACCAGCAATGCTGTCCAGATGCATTGTGATGCCAGGAACTTAGGGCCCCTCGAATGTGGTAGCGCCGGCGCTCTAGTAAGATCCTCAGATTCAGACCCTGGCGGCCTGTAACGTTGAATGGTGTTATGACGGCGGCCTTACGCATCTTACACCCATCGCAGTAGCAAGGGATTCCTGCCGCTGTTTCGAAGCCTTCGCCTGGCACCACCCCCTGCATGGCGGTTCGTACTTGTGGAAACGACGTTATACAGTCGGAGCACACCCCCTTGTCCCTTGCCACTGAGCAAATTGTGCGGGCGCCTGCATCGGATGGCTCAGACATCGGATCACTACACTTCGAACGAAGTTTAGGGTACAGCGGGTTTGGGTTTAGGGACGAGAAACCTCAAGGACCATCGGGCACGACGGTGGAAACCCCAATTTGCCCACCTCACAGAGCCAGAAAACTCATCTAACTCATCTGCAGTCGAAGATCTCTGAAACCGTCTGCAGAGCCGCCTCCCGTAGCCTGGACTGTAGGGCCGAACAGTTGGGTTGAACGCGGCGGTTGCTTTCGATGAGAATTTCCCCCATGTTGCTTTTAGGGCCAGGGCAACCCTATGCCCTAAACCAGGAAAGCCTTATAAACCCCAACAGCTTGGGCAATCTGAGGACGAACTTTCAGCCCTGCAGAGAACAATGGAAGGGAGGTTCTGATATGACACCCTAAATCACAGGATACTTACTCAAAGGACCCCGAATGACAAGGAAACCCTAATATGTCTGAAACCCATGTATCCGGAAGTTACGGAAGTTAACAACACCCGCTGCGCGGAACAGGCGCTCAAGCATGCGGAGGAGACTCTTCTGGGGAAGGCTTCGTTTAAAGTTTAATTAAAACAACCATCACAAAAAATCGTGCATGCGCGGCCGGCATAGCTAGCGTGCATGCGCGCAGACTGACAGCCACCCCCAACACTCTTTGGACAGCTCAGCCGTCGGCACTGCCAGCATGGCATTGCGGATGCCAGTAATGGAGGACTGGCGCAATCCGGCCACATCTCCACCTTGGTGTTCTACAGACTCCATGTTATCCCCTTGAGATGGGTCTTCTGATTCATGGGCCACCCTACCGGAGAGCTCTCACGATGCAGATCTCCCCAACACGCGTGTTATGAGACTTTGCGGACACCTTGGTAAGATAGGCACCTCTATAGATTTGCGAAACTCCCCTAATAAATGAAAGGGTACCTGAATAATTAGAACAAGGTCTTGAATGGTTAGGCGCTCGAGGTAATTATTACTACTTCTTCCTCTCGAAATTAGGGGGTCCTTTCTTGATGAGGGTGTCCTACTATTTTGGAGAGCTACAAACGCACCCTAATTTAGAGAACTACCCATATAGTACCATTATACAAATCCTATGGGAAACCCTTATGGATCCCTTCAAGGGACGCCTAAACAGGACCCTAATGCCTAAGTTCGAGAACTACCCATATGGCTTGAGTAAGCCTCGGACTCCCGCAGCCGACAGGCCCGACTTTGCCCCGGGGTTGCCGGGCCAAAGCCATGGCAGAAGGCAGCGCGCTGGCATGGGTGGTTTGGTCTCCGTTTTAAAGTTTCATGTAAGGTTTGACAAGGGATAGAAGGGTTGCAGTGTTGCTAAACGGGCTGCTGCAAGGGGTCTAGGTCTAGGAGCCGCGGATTGTTGTGCTGAGTCTGGATAGGGTACAAAAAACTCTGGCGAAGGGGTTGCATGGTGTTTGCTTGCATGGTTCCGGTATTCGCAACGGCGGGTTGTGGATACTCAACCCTATAAACCGCAAGCTCCTAAACCTCCAACCCGTAACTTCGATCTAGGAAGGAAGGGTTGAAGGCTACATGTGAAGTCTCCGATCGTGCGAAATCCAGGATCGCTTTGGATCCTTTCCAGCCAAAAACAGCAACAAAGCTCTAGTAGAATATGCTCCCAAACCCTGTTCTAATCGTTATTCCTCCTATTATTGCTGTACTAATACCTTTGGGGATCTTTTGCATGTCGACAGCCAACAGCATGACGTGCACTCGGGTGCCCCCCCGGCCTTGTGTGAGACTTTTCGACGGTTACCACGGAACAAGATAAAATAAAACCTCACCCCTTTGCCCTCCTAAGGCACCATAGCTTTTCTGACACCTCCGAGATCTACACAGCTGCAGTGTGCGAAAGGAGCAGCTGCACAACATCCTGAGGCCCAGAACTTGTCAGGAGGTGCACGCGACAATCCATCTCCAATTGTCGCCTGAAACGCAACCAAGTGCTGCCACTGATCGGAAGCGTTCGGGAAGTTGCAGAAGCCCTTTTCGAGAAAGACTGCAGCAGCCCGCTTCAAAGGACCACCGACCATGAACAGTGCAGCTCGATCGGTCATGTCTTCTACATATAAAAGACTATATATATATATATATATATATGTGTGTGTGTGTGTATTACCGTAGATGGTTCGCATGATACGGTAACCTCACATGGAACGGAAGAAGCTCAGAATGTGCCAACAACTGTCCTCTCATCCGCCGCGAGGTGTCGTCTCGGCGTTTCAAGGCCTGCTGCAGACTTGGGCAACGGTCTCGGCATGGGTCCCTTTGAACTTTACAGACTACTTGGCAGGCCCAACCTGAAGGATTATACCTTTTACATCCTTGAAACTCTTGAGCCCTCAGAACCATTCTTGCAGGCGTCGAAAATTTTCACCACAGCTGAGCCCTCAACCCTGCATGCTTTCCGGTGTCATCAGCAGGAGGCCTTGTCTAGGTACGGCGTGTGCCTGTGGGATTGCAAGCATTGATGCACACCCAGGACCCAATGTGCAGGAACCGGCTTTGCAAGAGCTGCAGCACCGAAGCCCCCCCAGCTATAGCATGTCGTATAGCCGTCAGTACGACACAGCAGCGTAAAGTAATAATAAAGTAGTGCAGAGCCACGAACAGGAAGTCATTAAACATGTCTTCAACCGCCAAGGGATCAGACCTTCGAAGGGTTTCGCTTCTGAGGCTCGGGGTTGTACACACACACACACCTATGTGACTATGTGGCATCATGTGAACAGAACGCTGCACCAGCTTGCATCGTCTTTTTCACCAGCGAGCTGTGGTCGGTATATGTAGATTTTTACATCTCGTTGGGTACGGCGATGCTTCGAGAAGGTCAGAGACAACAGCCTGCATCACGATTGCTGAGGCTCCCTGCATTTTGTCACTTCAACGCTTTCAGGAATTCGTTTCTGCTTCAACTGCATCGCTAAAACGGATACCTGTGCCGGGCCGAAGGGCAGTGGGTGGTTTCTCTAAAGTCAGAGCCCTCATCTTGGACCCTTTTCCTAACTTTTTCTAGTACAGCCCCTTATAGGAATGCTTCCTGAACCCTTTTTCCTATTTTCTTTTAGTGCAGCCCCTTTTTTTGGAAGGCTTCCTGGCCCTTCTTCAGCCGGCTTCCGACTCCTCCATCAGAAAGTCGACAAAGCGGTCGGTCAGGTCTGCGAGGCCTGGCTCAGAGCGCCACAAACACCGACTGTCTAAAGTTTACGGTTGTTTCTGCAAAGTTTAGGGTTTCGGCTCTCACACTCGGACAATCCAGGCGAGGCATAAAGTTTAGGGTTTAGGTTTTAGGGGTTTGGGAGTTCTTTTTGCTGCAGGCTTGCAAGCAAGAACGCCTGGTGGGGACGAGTGGCGAACTACCAGGCGTTCTACAGCTCTTTTCCTAAACCCTAAACCCTAAACCGATTTTCAGAGTGTTTTGCCTCCTGGTTCACGAGGTTTGTCGGGTTTAGCGCTTGCAGGGTTTATAGGGTGTGGGCCCTAGTTTTCGTTTTGCCTCCCGCCTGTAGGACGAACTGGGGCCTAATGAGGCTTTAAGGGTTTCAGGGTTAAGGGCTTCAGGGTTTCGGGTTTAGGGTCCGTGAGCTCACTTTGGTTAAGGTTTCTCGTGCCAAAAGGGTTCCTTTCCGAAAAGAGTCGCTCTAAGGTTTACTATAAGGCCACTGTCGGGGTTTTGAATATATGGGCCCCAATGTGTAACACGGGGTCTTATAAGGTATGCTACAGCTTGGTTATATGGGGGACTTTAAGGGGATTCTCCGACTCGTTGTTCCAACCTCCATTATAAACTTCTGGGCCGTAGGTCACCTTCTTGAACTCAGACTTTCTAGGTCATTACAGCCCCGGCACCCTTCTGTACCACTACCGTGGTGCACACAAACACCACGCTCCACACATGACCTGCCAGCCCGCATAGACAGCATCCAGACCTTCAAAAACAGCCAAACCCTGAACCCTAAACCCCTAAACCCCAAACCCTAAACCCTCAACCCCTCAACCCTAAACCCCCTGAGCCCTAAACCCAGGCTACCGGCACGCCTTGTGGCTCCTGCATCTGCAGCGGTGTCTTCCGCTTCTGTGACAAGCCGACCTGGCATGCTGGGTTTAGGGTTTAGGGTTCAGAGTCTAGGGCTTGCTGGGTTTAGGGGTTTAGGGTTTAGGGTTTAGAGTTTAGGGTTTAGAGTTTAGGGTTTAGGGTTTAGGGTTCAACAGTACTAAGCCTCAGTAACTGAAACATTCATTCTATTCATTATAACAGCCCTACTGCTACAATGGTTCCAAGTCTGTAATCAACAGTACCAAGCCTCAGTAATTGGAACATTCATTCTATCCATTATAACAGCCCTACTGCTACGATGGTTCCTATCTGTCGAGACTATCCTTGTGTAGTCGTTATTGCTACAAAGTACCTCTTCTCCTTCTTCTTACTCTTGCTATTAGCTTCCTTCGGCGTCCATCTCATGAGATTCTGCGCACGGGACGTACAGATTTCATCCGGAGGATGGATGGCTTTCTAGATTCTGCGCCTTTGCACTGCGATAGCAAGCAGCAAAGTGCTGGAGCTATTGGGATCGGGCTCGGCACGACAAGTCCATGAAAACCAGCTCACGAACCCTGTTTGCGAAGCCTGCTCGCGCTCAGCTGAGGTGAAGCCGAGGAGGTCAGCCATCTTGTTCAGAATCCTGGGCAGAAGGACATCTGGGTTTAGTGTTGGCATTGATCGGCATAAGAAATAAGGAAGCTGAAGTCTCCGAAGAGGGCATTACAAACTGGTCAAGCCCCCACAAGTCTGAAAGAACGCGCCGGATGTCTTTCCAGGGTGCCTCTTGTAGCACCCACTTGCCCTCGTGATCTTGAAAGACTTTCAGGGGCTTTACTTTGGGAGAGCAGCTCGGCATTTCCCGCAAGAAAGCCGGAGCCCGGGATCCCAGTCCCATCGCACATGGCGAATCAGAATGCTACCCGTTATGTCGCTCCGTCTTGGCAGCGAAGGCCCTGTCTGCTCAATTTGTCTGACTGGAACAGGCACATCAAATACTCAGGAACAACGACAGACGGCACAGAATCCTGAGCTGAGCATCCGCAGCATTACCCTTGCTGCCCAAGCGTCTCTAGCTGCGGGCCCGGATTCTCCCGCTGCTCCAAATAAGCTGCAAGCATTTGCGTGACCATGCGCTTGTCCACGAGGAAGGGACGTTCACGACTTTCCTGAGAAGCTGAGATGCTTAAAATCACATGTTCTAGACATGTTGAAATGTCTTGTTGGGACTCGGAGTGGTGCAGAAGCTAAGTTAAGCAGCGAATATTGGCTTGTGGCCAAAAAAAGCATTTAGGGACGTTAAGCCCTCACGATAGGAGCCAGCTAATCTAAGGGCATTTAACTTATTGTCAGAACCGGGTCCTGGTGCACATGATAAAGCATAGTTATATGAAGGAACCCTGAGAAGGAAAATAATGGTAATCATTCAAGCCCTGTACTATCTTCCTGGGCCCACGCCTCCAGTGTGTCCGAACAAACCTGCACCACGCCAACAGAACTTCTTCCATGCCCCAAGCCGCAAAACTCGGCTGAACCCGAATACCAAAGAGTCCTGAGGCGACTGCTTTCCTTTGCCTCTGCCAAACAGCAATCAGAGGATGCCAATCCTTTATCTGGGTATAGGCATAGAGATTATTTGGCTCTGGGCCGAGTTCCGGTCTACAGCGGAAAGTCAATGACCAGGCCGAGATGCAGCTTCCATCTTTGCCACGCACCGCTCCACCACGCTGTTCAAGGATTTCAGTTCCTGCTCTGAGGTAGATAGGGGTGTCGTGATAGCTAAGGATCCCGGATACTAAGCTTCAGCTACTTCCCGAAACTCCCCTGGTTTGGGTAGTTGGGCTTCATCCTTTTTCTGCTGGTGGGAACGGGCATGCTAAACTAGGGAAGGTCGTGCTTGCGTCAGGTTCACCTTGAAGACTACAACGATTGCCGCTGTGCTGTTGTCCGGGAACGCTGGGTGGTGTTGTTGCCGCTCGTCCCGTTGTGGTGGTGTTGTTGCTGACGCTGGACATATCGTCGTCACTCGCTTTGTCACGGCCAGTTAATCTAATGACACTGACGGCTACCGCCATCATACCGATCAGACCCTCTACGGGATAAGGATGCCGTTTCGGTCGGCGGTGCGACATACAAAGAACCTCCTGATAGGCTTCATGGATTGGGTGGAAACAGTCGGTACTAGCAGTACCAAACAATGCAATGTAGTCAAAGTGGTGGCGGCGGCAGCAGCAGCAGTAGTGTTCGTCTTAACAGCAGTGGGAGGATGAGGAGAACAACCAACGTGTTATTTACTGAAATTTCTGCACCCGACATGTTGTTGCTGAAAGGCTGCCGCGAATAGCTGCTGCTAGCTTGCAGAGTTGTTCTTGGTGGTGGTGTTGACTGCAGTATTGGTGATCGTGTCGGCAGCAGCGATGGTAACGGCAGCATTGATATGATATGTTCTCAAGGTTGGGAATGTGCAGTGGCCTCAGAACGGGGATGATGCTCGCTACTCGTACATCAGAACCGTGCGGTTCTTCTAATTCCTTTGTCTTCCTAACTCGGAAGCACCCCACAGATTTCGATGTTTCGCGTGGTTTAAATTAAATACAGGGGATGTATCCTTGAGCCAGGTTCGGTAAGTTTCAGTACGAACCCGGCCTCCTGGCTCTGCGCCAACTCCTGCTGGAGCCGCTCCTGAGGCACATGGTGTCACTGCAATGTCACTCCTTCGAGAGGGCTCTGGGTTTCGGCTTGAAAGTAACTATATGTCTGGATCCATGTAACTTGAGCGCCATATTCACAAGTGAGGAAGCTTAAAATGCTGGGGCACTCTGCACTGGGCTCGTACAGCCAAGCTTCATTTTCAGTGGAAAGTGCCCGGCCGGCATCTGCCACTTGGAGGTTCTCCTACAGATCCGCAGACAAGGGCTCGCCCCGAATAGGCTCGACCAGCCAGCAGTCGGCAAAGAGGTGAGGGAAACAGGGTTGAAACAGAATGAAAAAGCTTTGTCAGCCTTTTACTTACTGGCTGAAAGGCCCGGGCCA